TTCTTCTTCTTCTTCTTCTTCTTCTTCTTCTTCTTCTTCTTCTTCTTCTTCTTCTTTCTTCTTCTTCTTCTTCTTCTTCTTCTTCTTCTTCTTCTTCTTCTTCTTCTTCTTCTTCTTCTTCTTCTTCTTCTTCTTCTTCTTCTCTCTCTTTTTGTATTTTCTCTTCCTTTCTCAGTCTCCTCCCCACTGCCGTTTTTCCCCTTATCTATGGTACATAAAATATGAATTTGTGCGTATTTCTAATTCAGCACAATCTGCCATACATCTTTTTTTTCCTCTCTTTCTTTCTTTTCCTCTCGCTCCTCCTCTCTCCTTCCATGCTCTCCTCTCCCGATTACCCTGACATTCACATCTATGTTGTTTATGTTTTCCCTGTACACAATCTTTCTTTCCCTTTACAATTCTCTTTTTTTTTTTTCGAACTCCCAAAGTGTACATGATCGTTTGTCCAACTCTTCCTTGCATCACTTCTGTCTGTCTGTCCGTCTGTCCGTCCGTCCTTCTTTCTTTCTTTCTTTCTTTCTTTCTTTCTTTCTTTCTTTCTTTCTTTCTTTCTTTCTTTCTTTCTTTCTTTCTTTCTTTCTTTCTTTCTTTCTTTCTTTCTTTCTTTCTTTCTTTCTTTCTTTCTTTCTTTCTTTCTTTCTTTCTTTCTTTCTTTTTCTTTCTTTCTTTCTTTCTTTCTTTCTTTCTTTCTTTCTTTCTTTCTTTCTTTCTTTCTTTCTATCTTTCTTTCTTTCTTTCTTTCTTTCTTTCTTTCTTTCTTTCTTTCTTTCTTTCTTTCTTTCTTTCTTTCTTTCTTTCTTTCTTTCTTTCTTTCACTCGCATTAATTTACTTTCTATATCTTCATATTATAATAAATTAAACCTGCTGTCAGCTTTGCAGTGTCTCACTCTGCTGTCTGTGCTATCCAAGTGTGTGCCTGTACTTGGTGTTTCACAACAAATATCGGTTTACTGAAAGAAGTTAGCATCTGGCAAAGAAAACAGCCAAAGATGTCAGATCTCCATGGAGCCCAATATGTTCTGGTCGATTTAAAACAACACACACAAGAAGAATGTTTTCATCATCATCAAGTAGCAGGTCTTGTACAGAACTTAGCTTTCATCACTTTGGATGTTTTACATCCAGATTTAGATGTTTTCCTTGCATTTAGATGGCGTTTTTTACGTTTAGATAGTAGATGTCTTTCTAGACGTTTTTTTTTGGAGTGAATTTATCAAATCTAACCTAAGAAACAGGATGAAATTTGACCTGTTAAATGCTGTCTTGACAATATAATTCGGCCTGATAAGAGTAGGAAATAACTGTTCCACTTATCAGCTCCCTGATTGGGTATTAAAAGAAATTGGAACAGCTAAAGCATACCAGTCATTTTGGATCTGAAGCTTCAACTTTATCATCCAAGCTTAGTTTATCCTATGGATCCTGTAAGGCAGACTTCAGTAAAGATGAGGACATGATTCTATAGGGTTAGTCATATCAATTGCTATGTAATTTGTGACTCTTTCCATTTGTATGTTTTTTCTAGATGTTTTCCACGCAAAGTTAGATGGTTTTAGATATTTTTTGACTCGGCTTTGGATGTTTTTGTCAAAGAAAAGTGGCAACACTGGCTCTCATCACAGCCCGCTTGAAAGTCACGTGTTTCCTAGCCAGCTCATCAACTTCATGCATTTTGCTCCTCGAGGTGTCGCACGTCCTGTGCCCATCTTCTTGCTGGTAGTTTCCTGCCTCTCATAGCTGGCACCGCAGATCTACGGACAATTGGATTCATGAACTGTAGACAAAAGGTCAAGGACAAAGATCAATGGAGGCAAGTGATAACTGCAGCAGTGAACCTCGAGGGTTGGGAATGCTGAAGAAGAAGAAGAAGAAGAAGAAGAAGAAGAAGAAGAAGAAGAAGAAGAAGAAGAAGAAGAAGAAGAAGAAGAAGAAGAAGAAGAAGAAGAAGAAGAAAAGAAGAAGAAGAAAAGAAGAAGAAGAAGAAGAAGAAGAAGAAGAAGAAGAAGAAGAAGAAGAAGAAGAAGAAGAAGAAGAAGAAGAAGAAGAAGAAGAAGAAGAAGAAGAAGAAGAAGAAGAAGAAAATAAGAAAAAGAAGAAGAAGAAGAAGAAGAAGAAGAAGAAGAAGAAGAAGAAGAAGAAGAAGAAGAAGAAGAAGAAGAAGAAGAAGAAGAAGAAGAAGAAGAAGAAGAGAGAGAGAGAGAGAGTTGGAGAAAATAAGCAGAAGTATTACTTATTAACAATCAGCGTGATACTGTAGACGTGAGTACACATATTATTTGCCGTATTTCAATGTAATGTGTACTTTGTCTCTCTTTCTCTTTCTCTGTCTCTCTCTGTCTCTCTCTCTCTCTCTCTCTCTCTCTCTCTCTCTCTCTCTCTCTCTCTCTCTCTCTCTCTCTCTCTCTCTGGATGTTAACATTTTATGTAACGTGAAAAATGCCGACATTCTTTATAAAACACTCTGCCTACGCCAGTGCACCTCTTCACACACATAACATTCCACACTCACACGACACAGAAAGTAGTCCCAGGACGTTTCGTCTCATCCGTAAGCAATAACCTCACGCATTATAAAAATAAAAACAGCATAAATTCAGAAATAACAGTCAATAATACCGACAGATAAAACCTCAGTTTTTCCCAGCTCGCTGTGCACAGGGTGAAATGGAGTGAATGGTATCTTTCTAAGTTGAAAACAATTGGTAAAAACACGAATCCAGGCGAGGGGGGCCATTGCAACAAAGGCCTATTTTACATCTTTTCAGGCAGCTCGCATTGAGCTTTGTCAAAGAAGAAGATCATTCACATGTTTGCTCAATTTTGTAAAGTGGTGTCCACAAATATCCTCTTTCACTTTCACTGTATCCATTGTTGGATGTGCTTAGTATCATCCGCTGCTCATTTCACAGAAATCACAAGTTGATATGTGGCACAATAGTCCAATATTTTAGCAGTATCAATATCACAGACACTAGTAGTAGATCAGACTCACGCGTCTGTATAGAGCAGATTACCGGCCATGTGGACACTATAGTCAAAACACTGGTTGACGAAAACACGGATGAAGGTGATGCTGTAGTTTACACAGACAGATTGGCATTCACAGAAAGCTCAAGGGGGAAAACCTTTAAGGAGATGAATGGCGCCTTTGCTGTTACAACTAGTAGCCTTAAAATGGAAACTATGGCTGTAACGAGGGCATTAGCATGGTTTGTTACTGAAGAGTTCACACATGCGAGCAAAACCTAGTGACTCGATGAATATGCTTTAAAAAATTCCAGGCTGGTTTTTATCAGACAAGAATGGATTGCAACAGTAAGCACTTCAGGAATGGCTTTCCTAACCTTCATCTTTGTGCCAGGTTATGCGGGTGTTCAGGGGAACGAGCGTGCAGATTATCTTGCCGACAGTGTGATTGCTATGGCTGGTCTAGTACTTGACAGAAGTGATGGTATCGATGCCATGCGCAGCACTTACCGCACCGAGGAGCACGTCAAAGGACATGACTCGTATACATCTCTAGGCTGATGGATATGAAGGTGCAGCCTGGAGCTGCGAGAAATATGGACTAGACGTTTCCTCAATCAACACAGAACAGGTGTCATTAGCCATTGTACACATATGGAGCTACTGAGGAGGAGATCAGAGCAGCTATGGATCTGTCTGAAGTGCTGTGATGATAATCCTTTCTAATCACTAATCACACACATCTGTGTGAAACTGATCTCAGAGTCACTCACAGCTTTGAGAATTACTGTGCAAATGTCGTTGTCAACATGTCTGTCCATGTCTAAATGTCTATGTCATTATGTCTATGCCAAAATGTTTCTGTCTATATATCAATGTCAACTTGTCTATGTACACATGTCAATGTATATTTGTCTATGTTAACAAGTCAATAACCACTTTTGCTAGTCCGCAAGTCAGTTATCTACGGCTGTGTGCACACATGTCAATGTCCACATGTCAGTATCTACAAGTCAATGTCTACTTTTCTATTTACCATTTAAATGCCACTTGTCTATGTGCACATGTCAATATCAATATGTCAATGTCCACATGTCAATATCCACATGTCAATGTCCACATTTCAATGTCCAGATATCACTGTTCACATGTCGGTAATATCCACACGTCAATGTTTGCATGTCAATGCTCGCATTTCAGTACAACATGTAACTGTCCACATGTCATTGTCATTGACCTTTTAATGTCCACTTATGTATGTCCACTTATCAATGTTGGCATGTCAATGTCCACAGGTCAATGTCCACATGCAAATGTCACTGTAAACATGTCTTTCTTCCCTTATTTATGTCCACTTGTCAGTATCAAAATGCCAATTTTCACATGTCAATGTCCACTTATTTATGTCCACTTTCCAAAGTCCATTTGCTTAAGTCCACTTACTTATGTCTACTTTTTATGTCCACATGTTAATGTCCACATGTTAATGTCCACATGTCAATGCCCAAATGTCAATGTCTGTCTTTGCCAACTTTTAAATGGAGCAGTATTTTCCTGGTCTGCCTCAACACTGGACATCTGCCCTCAAACTGTGGTCAACACTGAACATCTGCCCTCAAACTGTGGTCAACACTGGACATCTGCCCTCAAACTGTGGTCAACACTGGACATCTGCCCTCAAACTGTGGTCAACACTGGACATCTGCCCTCAAGCTGTGGTCAACACTGGACATCTGCCCTCAAGCTGTGGTCAACACTGGACATCTGCCCTCAAGCTGTGGTCATCACTGGACATCTGCCCTCAAGCTGTGGTCAATACTGGACATCTGCCCTCAAACTGTGGTCAACACTGGACATCTGCCCTCAAACTGTGGTCAACACTGGACATCTGCCCTTAAACTGTGGTCAACACTGGACATCTGCCCTCAAACTGTGGTCATCACTGGACATCTGCCCTCAAACTGTGGTCATCACTGGACATCTGCCCTCAAGCTGTGGTCATCACTGGACATCTGCCCTCAAGCTGTGGTCAACACTGGACATCATCTTCTCGTACATCCTGGTCCTCCAGAGCCGCCTGGTGGCGCAGATCCAGCTGCACCGACTCTGGTGTGTAGGACTTCTCATGTCCCTTATAGGACATCTCCTGGATGTTATAGGACATCTCCTGTCCATTATAGGACATCTCTTCTCCGTTATAGGGCACCTCATGTCTGTTATAGGGCACCTCTTGTCTGTGATAGGGCATCTCCTGGCCTATATGGGACATCTCCTGACCTGTATAGGATATCTCCTGGTCGGTATGGTCCCCGATTTGAGGGACATAGTCCTCGAAAACTGCTCGAAGCTCTTGCGTGCTGGACTGGGCAGCCCTCGTGTCGTACATCTCCGAGGACGGTCTATGATGGGCGCTCGGCCTCAGGGGCGTGGTTTCAACAAGGGGCAACGATGAGCACTGACAGCAAGGGATGATGGTCGAGGAGCCCATCAACACGCTGTCCGGGCTTTGCCCGTCTGCTCTGTGGAATGCATGTTCGGCGTGAGTGGAATTCTGCAAGGAAGTGATGTCGGGGTGGTCGTCGAGACCCATGTCCGGGTGCTGGTTGTGCGAGAGGAGGAAGGCAATCTGCGTGGCAGTGTAGTGGTCGCGGTCACAGTAGAGGAAGCGGGCCAGGATGTTGATGTTGCGGTCGAAGCAGATGAGGATAATCGGCTCCACCATGGCTTCAGTCCAGGCAATGAAACTGAAGGCTTGATATACCTGGAGAAGACAGGAACAGATTAGTGTCGCAACGTTAGCAGAGAAGACAGGAACAGATTAGTGTCGCAACGTTAGCAGAGAAGACAGGAACAGATTATTGTCGCAACGTTAGCAGAGAAGACAGGAACAGATTAGTGTCGCAACGTTAGCAGAGAAGACAGGAACAGATTAGTGTCGCAACGTTAGCAGAGAAGACAGGAACAGATTAGTGTCGCAACGTTAGCAGAGAAGACAGGAACAGATTAGTGTCGCAACGTTAGCAGAGAAGACAGGAACAGATTAGTGTCGCAACGTTAGCAGAGAAGACATAAAGAGATTGGTGTCGCAACGTTAGCAGAGAAGACAGGGAACAGATTAGTGTCGCAACGTTAGCAGAGAAGACAGGAACAGATTAGTGTCGCAACGTTAGCAGAGAAGACATAAAGAGATTGGTGTCGCAACGTTAGCAGAGAAGACAGGAACAGATTAGTGTCGCAACGTTAGCAGAGAAGACTTAAAGAGATTGGTGTCGCAACGTTAGCAGAGAAGACAGGAACAGATTAGTGTGGCAACGTTAGCAGAGAAGACATAAAGAGCTTGGTGTCGCAACGTTAGCAGAGAAGACAGGAACAGATTAGTGAGGCAACGTCAGCAGAGAAGACATAAAGAGATTTGTGTCGCAACGTTGGCAGAGAAGACAGGAACAGATTAGTGTCGCAACGTTGGCAGAGAAGACATAAAGAGATTGGTGTCGCAACGTTGTCAGAGAAGACAGGAACAGATTAGTGTGGCAACGTTAGCAGAGAAGACATAAAGAGCTTGGTGTCGCAACGTTAGCAGAGAAGACAGGAACAGATTAGTGAGGCAACGTCAGCAGAGAAGACATAAAGAGATTTGTGTCGCAACGTTGGCAGAGAAGACAGGAACAGATTAGTGTCGCAACGTTGGCAAAGAAGACATAAAGAGATTGGTGTCGCAACGTTGTCAGAGAAGACAGGAACAGATTAGTGTCGCAACGTTGGCAGAGAAGACATAAAGAGATTGGTGTCGCAACGTTGTCAGAGAAGACAGACAGGAATAGATTTTTGTCGCAACGTTGGCAGAGAAGTCATTTAGCTAGAGTCACCTTCAGCATCAACATCGTCATCATCATATTCATCATCTTCATAATCATCATCGTCATTATCATAATAATAATAATAAAAACAATAATCACCATTATAATCACATATGTATATCTTCTTGCCTATGCCCACTTGTCTGTGTCCACTTGTCTATGTCCACTTGTCTATGTCCACTTGTCTATGTCCACTTGTCTGTCTCTATATATCTGTGTCCACTTGTCTATTTCTACTTGTCTATGTCCACTTGTCTATTTCCACTTGTCTATGTCCACTTGTCTATGTCCACTTGTCTGTGTCCACTTGTCTATGTCCACTTGTCTGTGTCCACTTGTCTTTGTCCACTTGTCTAAGTTCACTTGTCTATGTCCACTTGTCTATGTCCACTTGTCTATGTCCACTTGTCTTTGTCAACTTGTCTGTGTCCACTTGTCTTTGTCCACTTGTCTAAGTTCACTTGTCTATGTCCACTTGTCTATGCCCACTTATCTATGTCTACTTGTCTATCTCTATATATCTGTGTCCACTTGTCTATTTCCACTTGTCTATGTCCACTTGTCTATGTCCACTTGTCTATTTCCACTTGTCTATCTCTATATCTGTGTCCACTTGTCTATGTCCACTGGTCTATCTCTATGTATCTGTGTCCACTTGTCTATGTCCACTTGTCTGTGTCCACTTGTCTATTCCCACTTGTCTATCTCTATATCTGTGTCCACTTGTCTATTTCCACCTGTCTATGTCCACTTCTCTATGTCCACTTGTCTATCTCTATATATCTGTGTCCACTTGTCTATTTCCACTTGTCCATGTCCACTTGTCTATTTCCAGTTGTTATGTCCTCTTGTCTATGTCCACTTGTCCATGTTCACTTGTCTATGTCCACTTGTCGGTGTCCACCTGTCTATGTCCACTTGTCTATGTCCACTTGTCTATGTCCACTTGTCTGTCTCTATATATCTGTGTCCACTTGTCTATTTCTACTTGTCTATGTCCACTTGTCTATTTCCACTTGTTATGTCCACTTGTCTATGTCCACTTGTCTGTGTCCACTTGTCTTTGTCCATTTGTCTATGTCCACTTGTCTGTGTCCATTTGTCTATGTCCACTTGTCTATGTCCATTTGTCTATGTCCACTTGTCTGTGTCCACTTGTCTTTGTCCACTTGTCTAAGTTCACTTGTCTATGTCCACTTGTCTATGTCCACTTGTCTATGTCCACTTGTCTATGTCCACTTGTCTATGTCCACTTGTCTGTGTCCACTTGTCTTTGTCCACTTGTCTAAGTTCACCTGTCTATGTCCACTTGTCTATGTCAACTTGTCTATGTCCACTTGTCTATGTCCACTTGTCTATGTTTACTTGTCTATGTCCACTTGTCTATGTCCACTTGTCTAAGTCCACTTGTCTGTGTCCACTTGTCTATGTTCACTTGTCTATGTCCACTTGTCTATGTTCACTTGTCTATCTATATATATATATATATATATATATATATATATATATATATATATATATATATATATATATATATATATATATATATATATATATATATTATATATGTCCACTTGTCTATGTCCACTTGTCTATGTCCACTTGTCTATCTCTCTATATCTGTGTCCACTTGTCTATTTCCACTTGTCTATGTCAACATGTCTGTGTCAATTTATATATGTTCACTTGTCTATGTCCACTTGTCTATGTCCACTTGTCTATCTCTCTATATATATGTCCACTTGTCTATGTCCACTTGTCTATGTCCACTTGTCTATCTCTCTATATCTGTGTCCACTTGTCTATTTCCACTTGTCTATGTCAACATGTCTGTGTCCATTTATATATGTTTACTTGTCAGTTTCCACTTTTTTGTCTTTCCCTTGCTCACCACCACTATAATCGTTTTAATAATTATCATCATCATCAAATGGCTTGCTGACTGTCGTGGGTGATTATGAGGCTTCACAGCCTGCAGTCCCCAACAAAATTGATAACTTCATATGGTGACACTCCTCCAAGTCATGATAAAAGGCTGTAGAATAATTCTAGCGGTTATAACATGTTCACGTAATCATCATCATCAGCATCACCATCGAAACCATTATTTTTATCATCACCAAAACAACAACCATAACCCCACCATCATCATCATTCTTATCATCATCATCAACACCTCTACCAACATCATCACTATTCGTCGTCACTATCATTGATTGGCACCATAGATGGAGAATACAGAAGTACAGACAATGAGACAAATCAGGCAACATACAAAGTTGAAACCAATAAAAGCTTATAAAAATAGATAGGTGCGGAGAGGCACCGTTAACATCTAAGGCTACAGATTCTGTCAATTGTGTGGTATAGTTAGCTTTTATGTTGTCTAGTGTGTTCTAGGGAAGTGTTCTATCAACTGTGTGGTAAAGTTAGCTTTTATGTTGTCTAGTGTGTTCTGGGGAGGTGTTTTGTCATTTTTGTGGCAAAGTTAGCTTTTATGTTGTCTAGTGTGTTCTGCGGAGGTGTTCTGTCATTTGTGTGGTAAAGATGGCTTTTATGTTGTCTAGTGTGTTATTTGAGGTATTCTATCAATTGTATGGTAAAGATAGCTTTTATGTTGTCTATTGTATTCTTGGGAGATGTTCTATCAACTGTGTGCTTAAGTCAGCTTTTATGTTGTCTAGTGTGTTCTTGGGAAGTGTTTTATCAATTGTGTGGTAAAGTCAGTTTTTATGTTGTCTAGTGTGTTTTTGGGAAGTGCTCTATCAATTATGTGGTAAAGTCAGCTTTTATGTTGTCTAGTGTGTTTTTGGGAAGTGTTCTATCAATTGTGTGGTAAAGTTAGCTTTTAGATTGTCTAGTGTGTTCTTGGGATTTGTTCTGTCAATTGTATAGGAAAGTCAGCTTTTATGTTGTCTAGTGTGTTCTCGGGAGGTAAAGTTGTTAGACGTCCGCCTGCGGCTCCAGGGTCTTGGGCTCAGATTCGTGTCCAGACGAATTTAAAATAAAATACCGTGTGTCCGTAAAGTTATGATGAATTTTTGACCGGTCCTAGGAAGTAAGTGCACAATGATTTTACGGACACCCGGTACATAAAACTTGACTTCCGAGTCAATCTAGCCTTACAGTGAGAACCAGGAGATGTCTCGGGAAGTCAAGGCGACCGGCATCACGTCCGCAAAGCGTAGAGCGGTCTGTAAAAAGTATGAGTCTAACATCATTATGTCTCCTCCCCCTCCGTTACCAAGAATTCCCTTTTCAAAGATTGCACTCTGTACAATATGAACATCTCACGGATAAGAATCAAATAGCTACATTTCTGGGAAACCCCGTTCAACCGAACTACTTTATCTTCTTTCTTCTTTTGTCAAAATCTGCTTGTGCCGCTAGGCGTCGCAGTCTATCAGATGATCGGCAACCGAGCCAGGGCGCGCTCAGTCGCTTCATATGCCGTGATGTTATGAAGTCTCAAGTTGTCCGTGACTCCTTCAATCCATCTTCTTCTTGGTCTTCCCCTGCCTCTTGGTGTTTCGATTTTCATGTTGTATGCTCTTGATGCTGGCATCGTTGTACTACTTTATAGCATAGTTAAATTGGAGCACCAGAAAACACTAAACAGGACTAGAACTCAAAATCGTTACATGAAAATTCATAAACACGAATTCGTAGGAAGCGAATAATCTAGTGCTGGTCTAAAAATTCGTGTTAACTGAGAATCAAGTTATTTCACCCCTGCTGGGACCAACATTTTCTTGATGTTAACCGGTTGTTCTTCTTAAAGTCAGTTCTTGTCAAAGAGGTCTAACTGAATTAATTTAAAGTCTAAATGAGACGCCTGATTCTGTCACTATTATCTCCTCACTCGACGTAACATCATCGTCAAACAGTCGGTCTTTTACAGAAC